GTGATATCAAATTTTCAGTTTAAAACAATATTCAATTGTGCTGACAAACAATTAAGTTGTTTTCATAAACAACTCATTTAGCAAGCTGATTGACATATATGAACTTTGATTATTAAAATGAATAAAAATAGACTCAACCAAACAAAACTGAAGATACTTAATTAGTACATATTTGAAAACATTAATTTTATATATCATGTAAAATATATCCGCAGTTCAATGCAGTCAGTTTGTGGGGCACACCCTCACTCTAGATGCATGAGAGACAGGGGCCCCTGAAGCCTAGCAACAACACCAGCTTGAGATCCAGCAGGCCCACCAGAACCAGGATGACTTGGATTTGTTGGAGAATGTTGTGGACCAATTTTGATTCCATTTGCCTGGATATATAAAAGAATTATAGAATTATGTCAGATTTGATGATGATAAAATACTCAACTATTTTTTTCATACCTCATTATTATGTCAAAGACTCCCTCTTGAATCTTTCATAAATCTCTTTTGCAGTATTTATAAAGGCTTCTTCAACATTAGCTGCAGTTTTTGCAGATGTTTCCATAAAAACTAAACCATGCTCCCTAGCAAAGGCCTCACCTTCTTCTTTTTTGACTTCTCTTCGTGAATCCAAATCACTGTAAAACAATATAAATAAGTATCTAAGAAATAAATTATAATAATTTATATTTACCTCTTATTCCAATTAACATGATCACCATATTTGAATTTGAATGTTGTCTAGCATCTTCCAGCCATGTTGTTAAGTGATAAAAGTTTCTCTTCTGGTTATATCATATACCAGCAAAGCACCAGCTGCTCCTCGATAGTAGGAACGAGTAATTGATCTAAAAAACAATTATTCTAGTTATAGTAATTATTTACCACATTTCCACCAATTTTATTTTTTTTTTATTTCATTTTTATTCTGCAATCTATAAAAATAATTATATTTAGCAGAGAATGCTGACAAGTGTTTACAATTGGTTGTTTACAAATTAGCACATACGCCCAGTGGTGTATCTACTATAGTTAATATATAAATCAATGAAAATATTACCTGAAGGCTTCCTGACCCGCTGTATCCCAAATTTGAAGTTTTATTTGTTTTCCATCAATAGTTATCATTCGTGCACCAAATTCAACTCCAATTGTGAGATCATGAACAGGCTGAAAACGTTTATCTGTGAACTGTAGAAGGAGGCATGATTTTCCTACACCTGTAATAAGATTAAAAAAAATTAATAGTCAATTTAGGCTCATATTCAGTTTTCAAAACAGCAGTCGTCAAATATTCATTTAACGGAGAGATATCATGTTTGACAACAGATGTGCAGAAATAATTATTCCACTCCACAAAGGAAAATCAATAGAACACTCACCCGTATCTCCTATTATTATGTATTTAAACAAATAAGCATAGGACATCGTAGAATACTTTAGATAACTATTATAATTATAAAGATGCAAAATTGAAAAGAATCAAAAGATTTTGTATAATTTATTGCGTTTAAATGTCGTTTCAACCAGCTATATTACGTCATATCAAAACTGAATTGAAGCACTTGTCAAAAACAAGAATGAGTTTCAGCAGTGACTCATTGATAAATATTTTTGATATTGGCTAACCTGCATCCAGAGATTCTAAACATTTGGAATTCATGATTAAAATCATAGATAAAGAAGAGTCATAAAATCATAAAATCTTAAAACACCTAATTAGTAATGAGCAGATAATACAATTAATATGACGTTATGAAAAATTAAATTTATCAAAGGATATTATAATATAAATCAATTTTCAAATTTTATTCTAAACAGCACTAACATTAGTTTTTACATCTGCATTCGACACTCGCAAGACATTAATGCTTTCTAATTAGTATTGAAAACAATAACACATCTTGATATTGTATCTCTTTTTCATAAAAATTGTGCCATATAACTCCTGCATATTTAAAAGGTGTTTAATTACGTCCTGAATATGTTGTAAATTAAATGTTTCATTTGAATAATCAAATGCTTGTACTGATATGCTTAATAAATACATAATAAAAAAAGTTTTTAAAGTATTTAGTCAAAAGTCCTATTTACTATAAAATGATTTCATAAAAAAACGAACCATGAACAAGCGATGAATGCATGACTCACTCAGATGCACTTTTTGTCAGTAAAATTTATTTCCATTCTGGCAACACCATTAGTGCAAGTCGTTCTCGCCGTGCTCTGATATTTATCTGTGAAGAAGGCTTGCACGTGCACGATTTGCATTATTCGTTTTTGCTACTTACGGCGTAAATCGAATTGGATACGTTTTTAGTAGGCGGTAAGCTCTTAACAAGTATACGATTGACTTTTAAACTCACCTCGTGTGACTATTCTCTTACATATAAAATATTTATCAACGTTTTAGAGGTGATCAAAGTAAGGTATGTAATGAGATTGATAACATTATTATTAATGCAACTTTTACGCAATTCGATTTTCGCATTATGTATGCAATAGTTTTTTGAGTACTAGTATAAAATGCATTTATTTTCTCTGTTCACTATTAGTTAATTATATTGCAAGAAATGATTAATTGATACTGATTTTGATTACTGTACAGGACAACATGGTTAAAAAGCCAGGAGTGAGAAGGCTACTGAAGGCAAAAAGCACAAGCCTAAATGCCTTCCAGCAGGAAAATACTGCCTTATCAGTTGTGATATGGATACAACTGGACGAAGGTTAATATAGATGAAGTAAGTATATAAATATACTGATCTAATATTCCGATGAAACCTTTTGTAATCCACCACATGAATATTATTAAGCATACCACACCCCTAATGATGATGCCATTTTTGTTTTAAATCATAATTTTTCAACAGATATTAAATGAATTTAGATTTGATCATATCAGCTTTTGATGGTCATAGTTAATTTATAAATTTTACCAAGTAACTTTTTCTTGTTTAGATATGCCATATAGCAGCATACACTCCAAATAGCCAATTTTCCCAATATATCATGCCTTATGCAAATTTAAACCCAAGTGCTAGACGAAGACATAATATTCGTGTTACAACTGATGGCCGTTTTAGAGTTTTGAGAAGCAATATAAACAATAAGGTAAACAAAACACAAAACTGAATCATATGAAAATTATATGCAATCTTACATTTATTTTTTTACAATAGGTTATAAGAACAAAGTCAGAAATATCTGCGTTAATAGATTTTTTGAATTGCTTGAAGAAGTCAAGTCAAAGTCAGATGGAGCAGGTGTAATTCTTATATTCCATGAACCTAAGAAAATGGTATCTTACATGCTCTTAGAAGCTCTTCAACGTTACCATTACTTGGAAAGTTTCATGAAATTGTTAAGGGTTTTGCAAATGGACATGCATTAGCGAAGAGAAATGTTCAATACCATGAAGTCTTTTAACCTTAAAGTTTTATCCAGAGTCTTACTAGATCGAGAAGAACAATTCGATAATGCATCAAATAGAGCAAAAATATTTGGGAAATAGCTCAACATTTGGCCAAGGTTTGACTGCCATAAATTCTATTTAATTTTTTTTAGTAAAGATTCATATTCATAGTAATTATTTCAGGTGAACAAAAGAACTTAGCAGCTGGTATGGAGATCAAATCGTGTAATATTAGACAACATGGTAGAAGTAGTTCGCCAGTATTCGCATCCTACTTCTGTAGAATTAGGTGAACTAAAAGAACTGCGCAAAGTTGCTGAAAGAAGCAGTTCATTCCAGCCAATATTTAGTGCAGCTAGCAAAATGAATTATCGGGATATTCAGCACATAAATGTTTTAAGATCAATATTGGCTGAAGGCAAATCTGATATAATACCATGAAAAGTACATATGAAACAGATGGAAAACAAGGCCTAATAAATGAATTGGGTTAGTATCTCATGAGCAATTTAGAATGATTATACTTTTTGTCTTATCAATTACAAAACTACCAAAAACCACATTTTTTTTACTGATTACAGCCAAAATTGCAAATTACAAGGAAAGATCAACAACATGATTTATTAGAGATATTGGACTCACATTTTGATCCAAAACGTACTGCCACATTCCCAAATACAAAAACGCAAAAAAAACCTAAAATAGGAAATTAAATAAGACTGTTAGCAGTGATGATAGCGAGCTGTGTCTCTGATACAACTACAACAACTTCTCCTTTAAGAATGCTGCAGATAAAACTGTGAAGACTAATTAATTTTATGCCAGATAAACTGATTTTGATATACAATGTTGGTATGAGTTATGAATTTAATATCTTAATTAAACCCATTCCAAAAATCATAATTCATATTTTTAAATTTGATTTAAGAAATCTTAATGTGTCAACTTTATTTTGTTTTATTAGAGCTGTAAAGTTTTATTGTACATTTTTAGCTCAAAACTTTTTATAAATTCAGTTTTTGTTAATATCTAGAAGTCATACAGATTATGTTCATATGAATTGTGATTTTATCGGTTTGGATTTACTAAATGGGCATTATTGAATAGTATTATTTTAAATTGTGCCTTATATTCATTAAACTTTTCTTAATATTTTTTATTTATCTTGCTGAATGTATGAATTTATGAAACAACTATATATTTGAAATTACTTAAGAAAATATAAATTGTTAAATTTTTCAATTGAAAATTGATAATTTGTAATAAGGGAAGACTGCAAATTATTGTGCAATGTAATAAAAGTAAGCATATATATATATAATGAAATATATAATTTATATAAATGAATGTTTTATTATACAAAATTATGAAAATTTTAAACCGTAATACAATCATGCTTGTGCAGATCTTCTGTACCAAAATCTAGCACGGAAGTCATCAGAACATGTAAGAAATGCTGGATGTGTGGAGAATGAACAATAAATCTAACTGGGCCGTTATGTCCTAATGACATCAATTGTGCTCGAGAGGCATTTCTTGCATTCCAAGCACATAATGATGTAGTAGCTTCATCAGGGAAAAGTAATAATCCTCAGTGTGATTGAATATGCTTGTGCTGTGTGCTCTTGCTTACCTTAAAAATAAAATAAAAAGTTCAATATAAAACATCATTATGTGTGAATGGGAATGTATAATTTATCTAATTTACCGTTGTGCCAGCTCCTGTATAAGCAATTAAACACTGCTTGTACTTAGTTCCCATAGTTTTACTAGAGAATCTTTACCAGATGATAATAGATACTGTGAATGAACAAATGATATGAATCAATATTAATAAATAATTTTTTTACATGTGTGAATCTAACCTTTCAGTTCTTGAAAAAGCAAGGGAGCAAACTTCTTGACCGTCATGTGCTTTGGGAATGTATTTACACAGCGACTGCTGACCCATCCAAAGCTTTATAGTACCATCAGCACTTGCAGAAGAAGCATAAAGCTATATATATATATTAATTAATAATACCTGCTATCTTATTTAACATTTAAAACTATTATCATGTTAATTACTTTTCCATTAGCTGAATATTTGACATGATTAATTGCATCGTGTGATGAAAATTTCTGAGGTGGCTGACAAAACATTGTGCAGTCTCTATATCATAAAGTCGAACTACAAAATGAGTAGTTCCTGCAAGAATATAATCACCTGTCGGATGAAAAGCCAAGCATCTAACTGACATGAATCCTAAAAATATTACAAATTAACAAATGTTTGAACCTTAATTTGTTATTTTTTACCATAATTGTCCTGTAAGCTTTTTTAACAGAG